ACGCGACCCTTTGTGCTTGCTCGACAGTTTTTAAAAGAATCAAGCACATAACTTGCAAAAAAATGATGAGAAGAACAAAAAGTGGTGCAACACGAAAAATTCCAAGGGGGTCACCCATCCTAGTACTACTCTCGCCCAAGCTTGCTTAACTTCGGAGTTCTGATGGGATCCGATGCATTAGTGCTGGTATGATCGCACCCATCATGTGCTGCACCGTATGGTGATTTTATTCATAATCCGCCGGTATTGCTCATAGTTTAAGGAACAAACTTAACTTCAGAGTACTGATAGGATCCGGTCCATTAGTGCTTGTATGATCAATCCCATCATGTGCAATTTTAGCGTGCGAAATGGTAAAACACGGGGTCGAACACGCACCCTATGTGTCTTGGGCTTGTTTCCACTCATCGCTAACCTGGTAGTGTGGTCACCACGCTGTTTTGGGCATAACTTTTGCTAGGAGTGTCCGTTTTCAGCGTGCGAGCACTTTCTGGAAAGGTCTCAACGAGACGCAGAGGAGCGCGATGCGTCGGAGACCCATCGGGTCTCAACTTTGAACTGAATTTCCAGGGGGTCATCAATTTTAAGCAACAAACTTAACTTCAGTAGTCATTTAAGGTTGATTCTTTCCATGTTTGGATGTCAACCACCCACCCAGCGATGGGAAGCATGTACCCATCGATGGGTAGGTGACCGTTGGCTTCAAAACTGAAGGAAAAATTGGCTTACCAGCGATGGGTAATTTCAAAACATCGATGGGAAGCCAATATCCTGCAGATCCCAAACTTACTCAATCCCATAAATCAAGCCAATCACCCCTTTAATGCATTGGTCCGTTGGAGCCTATTTTGACACTATAAAAAGGGGTGTTTGGGTCTGCTTTTCTCATCAATTCACTTCACAATATTCATATTATCATTGCATTCAAACAACATCATTTTTCATAGCTTTCTAGAGCCAATTTGTGAAGTTTGAGTTGTTCTTGAGCGTATATAGTTTACTCAACATCTACTCTAAAAGAGAGCCTTGTTCTTGAGTGTCTTAGTGTTGTATACACGTTAAGGGAAGCTTGTTTCCCTTGATTGTACGAAGGAAAGGTATTTTCCTTCGGGTTGAAGTCTTGGAGTGCGGTATCTCCGAGCAAGTGTTGTTGAGGCTCGTGGGACTCGAGTTCTCAGGTTGTAACGGTTTGTTAAGCACCCGTAAGCTTAACGGAAGTAGTGTAGCTCGAGAGAGTCTCTCGGGAGGCTGGATTAGCCACAAGTTGTGGTGAACCAGGGTAAATCTTGGTGTGCTCCCTTTACGCTTTCTACGCTCTTTATCTTTCACGTTTTTAATTTTTTACTCCTGCGATTTCTACGATCAAACGCTATTCACCCCCCCCCCTCTAGCGTTGGTCACTTATTCTAACACTAAGGTGTGTATGATTTCTTTTAGAATGGATGATTGAAGGTTGAAGCTGCTT